ATATATATCTTGATTATAGAATATTAATTACATAAGTATATATATTCTGTTATTTTTAATTCTAATTCTTAATTATGATTATTACTTAATTATATATATTTCATTTGAAAATTATAAAATCATTATATAATTATACTATACAATGTAAATGTTTTACAATTGTTATTATATTATGATATATTAAGATAATATAGTTTAGTATATTAAAGTAATATAAAAAAATATTAAAATTAATTTTCTTTATCAATAACTTCAAGTCTTTCAAGGAGTTCTGGATGGCTATGATACCAACTAGAATATAATTTATCATAAAGAGGATAACTAAGATTATCCTTTTGTAACTTAATTAAAGAACTTTTTAATGCTTCTCCATGTCCTAAATTTTTCGCAAATTTATCTGCTTCAAATTCAAATCTTCTTTTAAATATAACTGTTATAAATTGGAATAACTAAAAAATTATAATAAATTTTATAAATATTATTTTAAACACAATTATTTGATGTAAATAAATAAATTGCATTTCAAAATTACAAAATAGTTTTAAAGTTTTATTCTCTATATATAAATTTTTTAAATATTTTAATTAATTAATTTAAATTTTATATTAGTTTATATTAGTAAAATTCTCAAATAAAATTTTTATATAATAGAATGCATTATACAAACTATTTTGCATTATACAAAGACTTTTTGAATTTGTATTAAATATAAATCAAACTTACCACATTTGGAGGATTTGAAATATACATAGTAACAATAATAAGTCCTATAAATGTAGGTTGAGTATCCATGAATCCGAAAGCTTCATATATAGGCTTATAATTAATAAGTTTTGCATATAGAAAAATATTCATCAACAAATGTAGCTACAAAAATATATTTTTATAAATAAAAAATAAAAAATGATATGAAAAAATAAATAAAAATTTAAAAATTTACTTGGCCAAATATAAATCCTTTTAATGCATGACTGTGTTTCCAATGTCCTAATTCATGTGCTAATATTGCTAATACTTCATCAGTATTACATCCTTTTACATCTGTTTCATCTTTTGTTGGTTTAAAATATTCCTTTACTAAGGTATCATATAAAACAATTCTTTTATGTTTATAAAAACCATAGAGATATGCATTGCTATGTGAAGATCTTTTTGAATTTTCAACAATAAATATTTTATAAAGAGGATAATTAATTGATGCTGCTAATGCTTCAATTTTTGTTTTCAAATCTCCATTTGGAAGAGGTGTATATTTATCAAAGATTGGTGCAATTACTTCTGGATAAATAATCATAAGAAAAAGTGCTGCAACTATTAAAAAATATCCAAAGATAAAGAAAGCAATACTCTCCTCCACTCTTTATAATCCATATTACAGCACATAAAAGAGGTACTACGATTATTTGATGTACAATGAATTTAAGAAGCTGATCTTTGGCAAAGAATAATGGTGTCTAAAATTTATAGCATTAAATTAACAAGATAAAAAGTATTGTTTAATATTAAAATTTTTATTTTCTTACCTCTTTGTTAAATCCATAAGCTTGTTCCACAACAAATGTAAAATAAATTTTAAATGGTAAAAATATTATATCATTAACAGTACTTAAAATGAACATACAAATACCACTCAAGAGAATTTCATTTTCATCATTAAAGCCAAAATATTTAACTAAATTAATGCTCCATAACCAAAATCGGTGATAGCATAAAGTTAACAAGAATATCTATAAATATTTAAATATATATAATATTATAGGAATTATATAATTTTTTTTTAAATATTATAATATATTTTATGCATATAATTAAGTAAAAATTTCATACCATGGTACAAAGTTCAGAATATATACTTTCAAAACTATCAAACTTTAATCTATCTAATAAATAATTATGTGCTTTATTATATACATCTTTTGTCATTAAACCTTCGAGAGATTTAGGTAAATTGGTTAAACGCATCATAAAAACACGCTAGAACAAAGTCATTATATCACATATATTATTATCATAAATCTAATTTTAGTAATTATTATTTAATAATAAAATTTATTATATATTATTTATAAACAAATAATTTTTTTTCAATTTATTAACATTAAGTAATTAATATTGTAAATATTTAGTAAAATATTACATAATTTAGTGAAATTTAGTTAAAATATTTTAGTATAATTTAAATATTTAATACAGGATTGAGAAATAATTAAAATAAAAAATAAAAATAGTATATAATAATTAATCTGTATATTAAGAAATTTTATTTTCATATTAAAATAAAATTATAAAATAAATATTTAAATTAAAAATTACATTAAATTAAAAATTTAGGTTATTAGAAATTAGATAAAATGTATAATACCTGACGAAGATCTAAATAAAATTTCCAAAGAACAAAAGCCATGATATGGCTAAGATTTCATAAAGTATATTTTCTTCGATAAATTTTACAAAACTAGACATTGTTTTGTATTTAACAAGTAAAAATTCTTATTTTTATATTCTATCTTGATCGCCGGTTTTTCTAAAACAAAGTTAGGTTCAGGATTGCCGGGAAAAGTCTAATCATGAAAAAAATGGGAGATGTAGTAATGAAACTTAGAGATAGATATGAAAGAAAAAATATTCTAATGTTTGTATATTTGTATAATTTGTTTAAATAATATGACTTTATTTTTCTCTTATTTCTTTCTTTATTTGTAAGTTTTATTTCCACTACAATATATAATATATTGATATATTCGCGAATCATTTAAAAGATCGATTCTAAAAAAAAACATAAAATATTGGTATATAAAATATTGATTGAAGCTTATTTATTAAGTTAAAAATAATTTAAATTAGATAAGTAAGACAGAAACAAAATATAACAACGAAAAAACGATCTCACTTTATTTTCATCTCGCTTCATCTAATACAAACTTTAATTATTTAACTTAATAAATATATCTTAACTGAATTTTATGAACTTTGTTTTGATTCATAAAATTTTGGTGGATTAACCTTCCAAATTTTATGATATCATGAATAAATTATAATATCATATCAATTTAAATATCATGAATATATTAACATATAAAACATATAAAATTATTAATAAAATTTTCTATGAGAAAAATGAGAAAAAATAATAATAAGGAAAATGAAGATAAAGAATATAGAAAAAGAAGATAAATAATGATTCTAACCAATATTGCTGAAAAGGATATTAACAATGTAAAATTTGATGTCAGATTCATTCTTCTGCTCTATCCGATTTTTCCCCATTATTTTCTTGATTTGATTTAATACTTTAAATTTTAAATATTATATAATATTAAATATAATATTAAACATAATTAATATATTAAAATATTATATACCATATATAATATATATATTATAGAAATTTATAAATTAGAGTAAAACAAAAATAAAAGGAAAAATATGATATCATTTTTGCAAAAAAAAATTAATTTAAAATGATGAATATTATATCACTATTTAGATCATATAAATTGTAAAATGTTTAAAATCGATTCATTTAAACAATTTTTTAATAATTTTATCAATAAAAAAATAATTTTCAAATTGTAAAACAAATTCTTATAATTTATGTTTATATAAATTTATATACAACTGATATTATATATATTTGCAAAATTATCAAAGCAGAAATACAGAGAAAAATTTCTAGGAAAAATAGATTAAATATTGAAAACATATATATATATATATATTACATAAATAATTGTAAAAATTATGAACAATGTTTTTTCATCAATTTTGAATCATGATAAAATATAGAACTTAATCATATATATTTAATAAAAATTATTTAAATAAAATAAATTTTCATTATAAAAATTTCATATTATAATGCTATATTATAAGAAAAATAATTTATTAATAAATCATAATAGAATAAGAAATAAATTTATCAAAATTATTTTATTTTGCAATAACTATGAATAATTTTTTAGTAGACATCTATATTATTTAATTTTTTAAACTAAAATAAATTATAAGAAAAGAATTATAGATTGAATATTATCAATATTTCAAAATTAAAATTTAATTATTTTGAAATTATAATTTATTAAAATATATATATTATAAAATATTATTATATTATAAAATATTATATATTGTAAAATATATATAAATATTATATATATTTAAAATTAATAATTAATAAAATAAAATATATATTTCAGATTTTAAACTGTATTTCATAAATATTTATATATTATTTTAAAAATAAAAACAAAAATTTATACTTACATATAATGTCGCGCAAATAATTTTATCTTTATTTTAAGCCAATTATTTGATATAAATATATATGGTCTAAGATTTTTATTGTTGCGTGAAAACATACCTTTAATATTATTATTTGTTATATTATAGTGTTATATTGTTATATTATTGTTTGTTTACTAGTTGATTTATTGAATTTTTAATTTATTGCAATAGTAATGATTAAGTTCAAAATTTTCAATAAGGATTTTTTTTATCCGTGAATTCTAATTTTGTTTTTCTACTATTATCCGCTTGTTTGACATTTCATATTTATATATGCAATTTGAATTTCGCTCTCAATTAACATATCGATATTATTAACCTTAAAGTTAAAGTCACGTGATAGCGTAACAAGATAATACAGTTATCGAAAAATATGTTTACACATATTTCTATGTTAAATATATATACTATGTACAAATGACATTTTTATATATAAAAAGGTTATGAACTTTGTACAATAAGTGACACTATTAAGAAAATGATAAGCAAATTATCATAAAGTATGGCGCCTGAAAGAATGAATGATAATAATGGAAATCAATTAAAAAATGTACCTAACATCATAACAAGGTATTGGTTTTACTAAAAAAAGATTTCAATTAATATAATATTTTAAATATTACAATTATATATTTATAACAAATTGATAATAAACAATTTATAAAAAAAAATCTATAATCTGAGATTTATCGATAAAAACTTGGTGATATTTCATTAGAAAATTAAAAATTATTTCATAAAAAAAATCAGTAAAAATTATTTTTTAGATTTCAATTCAATTTCTAATTCAAAAAGAATTTAAATAATTTTTCTTTATTAATAAATAAAATTATTAAAAATAAATTTTCTGAATAAAATTAATAATAAATTTTTTTCTAATAATATCTTATAAAATGATTTCATTGCAGTTTACCAAGTGCATTATCACCATTTCCTGTTTCAAATATTCAATCGGGAAATCCTCCACCTGTACCTCCACGTCAACCAGTCCAAAATTATTATGGATTTAGTGATCATAGATTGTTTGGATCAAATTATTATAATGGATATGGTTTGAGTTACAATAACCAATATAGAGGATTTAACGGGAATTCATATAATCCAATATATTCTAATTATAATAATTATGGAATATTTGGTGGACATAATAGTGATGCTGAAAATAGGTATGTTTATATTTTTTAAAAATAATTTAAAAACAATATCAATGTTTTTTATTATGTTATTTATTATGTTTTAATTATTTTATTTTAAGTTATTCAATTAAAATTAAAATAATTATATATATATAATTAAATAATTATATATATATATATAATTTCTTTATTTTCATATATAATTTTTTTAAAATATATCTTTTAATAATTCTTTAATATCTCTTAAAGATTTTTATAATAATTTCAATTAAATCTGAAATTTTATGAGATGTAATGATTTATGAATCTGACAAATAATATTTATAATTATTAAATGTAGAAACAAATAAAATATATATATGATGATTTTGATTGAGATAGTTTATATAATTATAAGTATTGTTTTTAATTATTTTTTCAGATTTTTCCATTATGTTGAAGAAAGTACTAGACCAACATTCCATTTAATTGAAACAATTCTTCATACATTTTCATCTATGACAATGCTTTTGGAATCTACATATTTTGCTTTAACAAATTCATTTAGAGCAATTTTAAATGTTGCAGAAAATATTGGAAAATTACGATCAACTCTAAATCAGTTATTTAGCACATTTGCTTTAATTAAATTCTTAAAATGGTTATATAAAAAGATTATATACACTATTGGTAAGATTTATTAATATTACATGAATTTAGAATTTTTATATAATGACAATTATTAAATATTATATTAACTATATTCTATTATAAATAATAAATTTATTATTTTTTTAGGTTCTAAAAATCAAGATTTAATAAATGAAGAATTATGGAATAAATCATTAACAAAAATTGAAGGTGAAAATGTCCATAATTCTTCTTTTTGGTCTGGATTTATAATATTTAGTATATTTTTTGTAGTACCATATATAATTCATAAAATTTCATATAATATTAGAAACATGCAAATGAAAGGTATTAAAATATAATATGTAGTTAAATAGTTATATTTTTAATAATTGTTTTAAATTTCATAATCTTAGGAAAAGATCCAAAAGAATGGCATCAAATTGAAGAACCTGCATATATTGCAACAGTGCTACATGATTTTATTGCAATCAATAATGATGAACTTAATGTAAAAGCTGGTCAAAAAATTTATCTTGCACCTAGAAATCTACAACCAAAAAATTTACCAGGATGGTGTAAAGTTAGTGATAGTGTAAATATTGGTCTTATTCCTTACAATTATATTAAGGTTATAGGACAATTGAAGAAAGTAAAAAAAATAATGAAGTAATCCATCTAAATGAAGAAAAATCTTTAATAAATGAAAATTATAATAATATTGATAAAAAACGATTCAAAAACTATAAAAAGTAATAAAAATATTGAAAATGAAGTATAGACAAATTAGTTTGATAATTTTATTAATTTTTATAACTTTTAACAATAATAATTTAAAATCTATTTTCAAATATATAGAAATTGTTCAGCAATAACAATTTGAAATATATAAAAGAAATATTTGCTGCTGATAAATTTTTTATTTTATTTTATAGATTATTTCATGATTTTTAATTTAGCATTTTTAATATAAATAGAACTTTAAAAAAATTAAAAAATATGTAAATGTATTTCTGAAATAATCGTATTTTGAAAAATAAAAAATTTTTTTAATTAATAATTAAAAATACATATATAAATTATGCATGAATTAAAATATTAATTTATTATTTTCATAGATGTGATAATAAACAAACTAACATATATATATACATATACATTATACAGTATTTATATTCATACTGTAATTTATTTTATGTATTCTATTATTAAATTTGTTTTTATTTAAATTTTTATTTGTAATAAACTGGGTATTTCAATAAATATTATTTTACTTATTATATTGAAAAAATTAAATATTAAAAAATAATTAATTATTATTACATTATATACTCGCATAAAAAATTTTAATTTCTAAACAATTTATTAAAAAAATAGATACTCAATCGGAATGAGTTTAAAATTTTTTTCTTTTAACTAAGAAATTATACTTACCATAAGTAGATAAAAATTATAATTTAATAAAAAATAATTAACTTAATTAAAATAAAAAAAAAGGAAATTGATTTTTAAGGAAACATTTTTAAAAAATTTACAATCATTTTC